TTTTAGGTTAACGAGCCTCTCGCGTATATGTCTCTAGGAGTGTGCGTTTCTTGTCATGTTCTTTTAACAAACCTCTGAAATTGAGCAATTTTATGATGACCTGTACCTACTATATACAGTGTACGAAGTACATCAAGTGATGTTAAATAATGGCAAGCATATTCCGGAACACCTAACATTTTCCTTTACTACACCTATGAGTTTATTACGTGTGCTTTAATATTTTATCCACAATTAACTGACCACGTTAACTTTTCAACTATTCAATATTTATCCCACGGTATTATACTAAGAGAATAAGAAATGTTCATTCCGTTACCTGCAAGATTCTACATTGCTTGTAACTGAAGCTTCTCCTTTAATTAAAATATAATTGACCGTCTTGCTAACATTCCGTAACAGCTTAAAATAAACATATTTTAACCTATTGCAGTTAATGACTTAACAATTATCGATTGCTTGGAAACTTGTGCATAAGGCAAACAAAATTTTGCCATCAGAATACAATAATACGTTACGCATTGCTTTGAGGCATCAATAAATTATATTGTAGAATGTTTATTGCATCTTTATAACTCCAGCAAATTGCCGAGCAAGAGAAACTTGTATATATTCTGTCTCACCATTTGACGGTAGTCGTAAATTCCACTTAAATTAAAAACAATGTAGAAATGCACTAAACTTCTGACAGAAACAACCGAATTATTGAGTTTCAAATTATGGTATAAGTTTTTACAACCAAATATTAATAAGATTTGCTATGAAATTCTATTCGCTATATAAACGCGAGGAGCATAATTTAATCACTTGATTTAATCAATATGATTTGGTAGATTGATTAATTACACCTTTTTAAATATAGTTTCTGTAGCTTCTGTAAATCCTGTTGTGTTTTTAGCAAATATCAAGTTTTTATACTCCTGGCTAGGATGTCTATGCCATTTTGCACGGATCGGAAAATCGTTATAATGCGCGTACATACGCCTTATTATGGAAGGTCTAAGCGAACAGATTTATAATGGTTTCGACGAATCAATTCCATTGGACGGTGGCGCCACCTTCGTTGGGAAGCATACAAATCAGCGCGCTAAATATGGCGGCGTACTGCTCAGCTACGCCAAGCAACGCGTGCACGTGTTTGAGAAGTTATGAAATCAGCTGCAGCATGCCAGTGAACTGATGACAGGTGTATTGCAGAGAGGCTCAGTGGCTAGTTGGCCGCATGCCTGTCTTGGAGGTGCTTTTGTGTTATTGTTAAGAGTATCTTGTGATAGAGTTACTGTTAGTCCGTCCGCAACCAAAATCACCGATGTTTGGTACCGCTCGAGGCGCGTCGTAACCGAAAGCCGACATTCACAGCAGACAAACATTTTGGTAATCTCCTTGCGCATGTAAAACTTGGCTGATTGCTAAAGGGTTAGCGCATCTCTGTAACTCTAGGCGAGCTTCAGTGACAGGCGGCGAGATAAACTTCGTTTTCATCTACTTCGCCCTCAACACAATTCAATTCTGCTACTCTGGTCCGCAGAAGAGGTGAGTGAAAGTGTAAAAGTCGGGACTTTAACCTCACACCTGTACACATATGAGTACGAATGTTTGTTAATTATTGTGCAAACTTTCCTGTACTTAAATAGATTTCGAAGGTGTATGAATTACAGGTAATTTATCGCATCGTAAAGTGTATTATACTTATCGCCTGTTTACTCTAGATTACATTATAACGTAGTTCCACTTGATTGAAGGGTCAACTCCATCGAAAGTTCAAGTTCATGTATGGGTAAAGTGCAATAATACTAGCAGGAACAAGTATAATATTGTATTTTTGTACTACTGTATTACAATATTGTAATATTGTATTTTTAGTTCGTGGTTACTTCTAAGTTATAACAATTGTAGAGGAACTGTTGATTATGATATACCTACAGCTAACAATGTATTTTTCCTCAAAAATAATTTTTAAGTTTACTGAGTGAAGGTAATACTTGATAGCATTGCTATTCGTTTATTGCCTAAGCAGGACTTGGGATTATGGAATTTTGTATTTTGTAATTTTTGTTTTATTTGAACATTTCTTCTGATAATCCTTTGCATCGACAAAGGTTGTCATCAGTTTTGCTGCCTATAATGGTCCGTTTGCTGCCCGCTCTTGGCATGTACGTGCTGCCAAGAAATTTGTAATGAACTACTGTAAAAGCACCAGCGATTCTGCCTGTATGAATAAATTTGCTGCTTCCCTTTTTCTCTGGCAGCAAGTACCTGCTGCGTGACAACAAGTCCATTTATGATCATAGGTTGCATTTAATTTTAATGCCATATGCCTGCACATAAATAAGAAATATTTTATGTAATAATCATAACAAATTGTGTATGTTACTCATAACATCTAAATTAACTAAATCTAAATTATATTATAAGCTAATTATATACATGTTTTATATTTTCATTGCTTTCAGCCAATATACAGGTACCGGTAGGGGCCTACCTGTATTCCCCAATGTGCCAGTAAACGGTCTAGATGGATGGTAGAAGTCTTTATGGGGAGTCTGGGGAGTTGTACCACCACCCACAGGCACACCCTCACCACATGTGGGATGCACACGGGCCACTAGAGGTAAGCTGTTTTTACAATCAAGCGTTATATCACATTGACTGTGCGTTGTATCCGGAAATGGGTTATTCTGCTAGGTAACATTTTGCTTCAGATTGGAAATTGCAATGGAAATGCTGAAAGGCAGCATAAAATAAATGCCTGTCCAGCCGGTTGAGCTAAAAATATATAATGTTTATGGGTTGCCATGTAAATAAATAAATAAATAAGTCTACTTGCCTACCTACCTACCTACCTACCTACCTACCTACCTACCTACCTACCTACCTACCTACCTACCTACCTACCTGCCTGCCTGCCTGCCTGCCTGCCTGCCTGCCTGCCTGCCTGCCTGCCTGCCTGCCTGCCTGCCTGCCTGCCTGCCTGCCTGCCTACCTACCTACCTACCTAGTGGCAGATCTAGAGCGGGGTTGGGGGGTTGCAACCCCTCCCCCGTTCAGCCACTGACTATTTTGACCGTTATCTGGAGTGAATAATAATCGATTATTAATAGATTATTAATATCGATAATCTATTATTATCCACTTCTGATGTTATGATACTAGTAAAATGGGGCCACCCTAGCACTGCTTGCCTTCGGTACGCCTTCACTTAAAATATCACCCCCCCCCTAACCTCCTGAAAGCGAGTTCCGGCCCTGCTACCTACCTACCTACCTGCCTACCTACAATACATAGACAAGAAAATACACAGAAAAGGTTTTGTTCTCTGCATATGCAATTAGGTACACTGCAGGCAGATAAAACTGGATGCAAATATACAAAGGTTAAATTTACATTACATTACATAACCGGATGTAATTTGGGAGTTTATTTTGCTCCGTTGTCGATTATAGTTACAGGTTGAAAATTATCACGTTATATTGGTTATCAAATATGGAATTTTACCTTATTTGTGAAAAGGACGTTGGCAGTGGTGATCATAGAGTTCTTGTTACACATGGGTATAAAGATGCATTTTATCCAGTGAATATGTGAAACGTATAGAGTATAAAATGCTTTTAGAATTGAGCTGTCAAAAGCTCTTGAATATTTTATATTAATGCCTGGTTTGTGTAATAACTGCGTTTTCATGTGGCACCTTGAAGAATTGTGCCTGCAGTGATAAATAAAGGCTCATGACACCTCTTATATCAACACCTAGCTGGCATATATGTCAATTTACAACATGAGAAAATTAAATCTTATTTATGTTAAGGTGTGGTGTGCTCGTAGGGTAATATTTTATGCCGAATGAATAGGCCTACCGAACATACATCAGATACTTTCTATTTATGAGATTGTGCCTGGAGAAATTAATTACCAACATATTGCGCAGTTTGTGTATAAACGTAGAAACATTGAAGAAACATTACACATTACAATATTGACAGAAATAGTTCACGGTTATAGTCTATTTCGGACATTACTGATGCGTAGTATGCTTATATATATATATATATATATATATCATATATATGTGCGTGCGTGCGTGATGACGGTGACGTTCGTACGTGGGTGTGCGTGCGTGCGTGCCGTGCGTGCGTGCTGTGCGTGCCGTGCGTGCTGTGCGTGCGTGCGCTGCGTGTGTGTGTGTGGCTTGTGGTGTAATCAGACATCTATAATACCTCGTCGTAACGGAGTTGTCATGGAGGAAATGTGATGGGCCTCTCGTGTGATGCGTTCGTGGTGTGTTTCGTGTGTGTGTGTAGCCAACACAGTCAATATCAGCGATTCTAACTACTACAAGCTAAACACTACTAGAAAATCAACTAAACACGAAGACTCAGTCCAGCGAGCGGGCGGGCGCGATCGATAAGCGCGTCGAGTCTAAGCGAGTGCGAGTCAGAGCAGCAGCCAGCCAGTGAGCGGCGAGGCAGCAGCAAGACGATCAATCAGCAGCCGCCACCAGCGAGCACATACATTGTTATCATCCATGCTCGCGGAGGTATGCACTCTCCGTGAGTGCCCTCTGTCTAGTTTAATATAAGCTTGTTACGTTTCGGCAGGGCCGTAGCTAGGCGGGGGGGGGCACAGGGGCAGTTGCCCCCTCAGAAAAAAAGTAGATGCAATACATGGTCAAAGGCGGTCACTTTCCCAGAACACACCATGTACATGGCTTTGCCCCCCCCCAGGGAAAATGAGTTGGCTACGCTTCTGGTCGGTAATATCAAGAGTTATTATGGTAATAGGTATTATGGTAATATGGTCTTGGTAATGGTAAATGTTTTGACATCGTTGTACATGGTGCCTTCTCGGTTAAATGTCTTCTTACAACCTATATTCATTTTTCACTAACACCAAAGACTATATTATATATATTCATTTTTATTATAACTGTTCGCGATTACGATTATAACTTCCCGGATGTACATTGTATTTATTTTTTACGTGGTCAAATTAAAATAAACGTTCACCGTATCAGCTTCGATCGAAAGGGCACACATTACATGTGTTTGTGACACACGTACATTACTGGCAGTAATTTCTACTATTCCTGCATCAGGTTTTTCGCTGTTTCAATCATGCTGCAATGCTAACTTTTGCATTAAAAAGTATCCAAGCAATAACGTTTTCGCGATTGCAATCAAGATTGCATCGTCCCATAAATAGTAGCTGGGCAGACCAGTGAAATAAATTTGCTGGTTGCCAGGCAATGATATCTAAATTAGGTAATTGTTTTCGTCGTGGGTAATTTCACAATATAGAAGTAGCAGTGTCTGCCAGTGATACGCACGTAGTCAGAGTATTCGAAGTGTACGGTACCAGAACAGTGCATCGGAATTTCGCAGCCATAACCAGACTAGTATATACTGGGTTGCATATCGGTTAATTATTCCTGGAGGAATAGTTAGTACCGCTGTGGGTAGCCCGTTAAGTTAGGTGTCAGTCGTGTATCACTGTGGTTTATGTTCGCATCGGCTCAGCATCAATGGATACTACCTGGGTCGTACTTAATTATACCTGATGATCGGTAGTCTGATGCGAAACCGTTTGTCGGCGATAGATGTCAATTTCGACACCGGCGTGATCTGTTGATAGTTCGACATTGTCCGCGTTATGAATTGCACATTGTTAATTCAACATCATCAGCGCGAGCTATCGCTCCTGTCTTATTATAGATGCGTCGCAACGGGAGTGTGTTCGTTCTGCGTATTCTTAGTTCTTACCACGGTGCGTCACACGATTTAGGTTCGAGAAGGCGAAACGTGTTTTTTCACTAGAAGAGTTTTGCCGGCACAGAGCTATTTGCGGTTCAGTCCGGCCTTAGGATCTCTTGGGGCTCAGTATATTATAGGTTATGATTAGGGTTAGGGATAGGGATAGGCTTAGGTTTAAGTTGATGTGGTTAGAGGTGTGTTATTGATAAGAGATATGGGGGTAGAGTGATGATGATTATGATAATGATAATGATGATGATGATGATGATGATGATGATGATGATGATGATGATGATGATGATGATGATGATGATGATGATGATGATGGGGAGGAAGTTGATGATTTATATTCCGGAAGCCTAAGACGGAGTTAGGGTTAATATTTAGGATTAGGGTTAAGATTTATGATTAGGGTAAGGGATAATAATAGGGTGATGGGACTAAGGTTTTTGGTGCCGGCATCCTTGTCCCCCTGGAGTCTCAGTTTTTAATTAAACCGGCGTTTGTCATTGGCGTCAGTGTCTAATTATCTAGAAAATAGCAAGAGCTAATAATAATAATAAGTATTATTAGCTCTTGAAAATATGTAAACCAACCTATGTAGCAGGTTTACTCCGCCAGGAAAGGATTATGCTGGAAATATGGCTGTGGCGAAGTGAAGCGCTACATGGTAGAGCTAGGAATTGCTATAATATAGATGGGTTGCGCAATTAACCAAGGAAGTTACCGTCTACAGGTTGTTATCATGGCAACACATCTTGTGCTAACGCCTGTCTACCTTGCTATTTATTCTGAAACTGGGCTTCTTGGTGCAGTATTATACTGCTGTAAGATGCAACTACTGTGGAAATGTTCATTCGCAATTGAATAGCTGTTAAACAGTCGTGACGTGGAAAGATCGAAGCTTGTATCTAAGAACCGTGCGTTGAGGGTTGAATTTTTGTGCAAATGAACAGTTGCTTTATTTAGGACACGTAGCAATTTTGACAATTTACACATTTTTATGTGGAAAGATAAAGTGGAGATCTTAATTTTCATTTGCTTTGAGAGGGCAGCGATGTGGGCTTATTTAAAGATTGAATAGACGCAAGTTTCATTCACAATAAAAACAGTTAAGGGTTCATGTAATGATGTAGAAGGAGTTTGATAATTGAAAATGAGCAGACTTTGTTTTCAATCGAAATTCTCGTGTCTCGCATGACAAAGTTCCGTGAAATTTTCCGTGATAATTTATCAGTGATATAGTTAGGGTGGTTGAGATTGTGATGGTGATGATTTATGTACCAGGTCCCAATGTAGACGTAAGCGCTCACATACAGCTGCTACATGTTTGCTTGTGCTAGATGCAGCCAGCAAACTAGCCAGCCCCCTGCAACTACCACTGCAACGCGTTAAACTTCTATTTTAAAAGTTTAAAATTAAAATCGATCACATGGTGGTGTCAGCATCTGGCATGAAGGAGCAATGGGTTATTTTTGCACACTGTTTAACACACACCGAGGCAGGGAGGCACCCACTTGGCTGTAAATAGTCAGGAGAATAAAGATTGTAAAACAAAATTGATGAGAAGGCACATAGATGAAGCTGTAGCTTTTGGCGTGAACAAAATTGTTGCCGTGGCTTACCCAAGGAAACTACCAGCACGTGTCACTGCGTGAAGTGATACACTGGTACTATACCACATGAAATGAATGGTACACATAGCAAGATCAGTGGTACAAAGAAAATTTAGAAGTTAGCAGACTGTATGTAGTCAAAAGGGTTGGTATGTAAGTGATCCACGTGGGTTTATTTGGCACTGAAGGTGGGCAGTCATGCTAGAATGTATCAGCGCATAATGTGTGGTAAATTATACTGGTGTGGC